ATTGCGGCTGCGATGGTCTATCACCTTCTGAACCGGAATCAAATGTGCTTTTTGGGAATAGTTTACTATGATGGAGACCACCATCAGTTTGATCATGGATGCAAATCATGCCCGGCAATCTACAATAGTCTCAGCCGACATCGTTTGGAACACCACAAAATAAAAATTTCGTCGTTTTTCCGACGATTCAGTCGACCAACTCTTATGCTCGACTCCGTCGACTAAATATTTGTTCTTAGTTTACAGCATCATTTGCAGACCCTAAACCCTGTACATTTATAATATACTACGCATGATGCTTGTAAAAAGTAGTACAGTGTTGGTTCGTAAGAAGCAGTATGGTACTGTGTGAGGTAGAACAATCCTGGTATTTCTTCTTGACCGACAGGTTTGGGTAAAACGATACGCGATATCATCTCTTCTGAACCACGATAGGTACGATTCAACGTACAAGAATGAAGCAAACATCATGACACCACTACACCACTACACACAAGAGCTGGGCGCCCTGCTGGGCCTTTACAACAGAACCAAGTATCCTCCGGATTGGTCGTTATTGATATCCAACAAGTCAAGCAATCTACTCCGCGATTTCGAGCAACTCCAGCGACATTCTTCGGATCACTAATACGATCCCGATCGAGGCTTTTTTTGAGAAATACATACATCGGGTATTGTACAAATCGGATTTGCGAAAGGTCGATAGACTGCCAGGACTCAATGATACGGAAGCAAAGCAACTACTATACGACCCGAATAACAGAGCTATCATGATCGAATGCGTCCTTCGCTATTGACAAAGGTACCAGCATGTCAATATGCCTCGCAAACACCAGAAGAAATGGAGCCATAGCTCCACTGAATACCTTTCGGACCGAATTGCGAAAGCGAGTTTAGGCACTAGCTCCAGGAGGCACTTCCACAAACTTTGGCTTTTTTCCACATTCGACGAGGAGATTCCAAAAAGGTGTGCAACACCACGTTGCCCGACTTATTGGAAAGCTATTTGAAATGTTCCTTGTATGGAACGGAATCAACAGGAAAGAATATTACCCTCTTGATGGGTAGTGACGAGCGAAATGCAAAGTATCGTCAACAAGTTTTGGACTTGATGAACCACAAAAGCAATGCAGCATTGCCTTCTTATCCCCACGTTTCCATGCTGGATGCGGACGCGATTACAAAGGAATTGATGGAAGAGTTGGTGGCACAAAAGGCCATGCCGGAATGGCTAGAGTATCGAGCAACCACTATCAATTGTTTTCTATTGCTACAAGGAATTGGCATGTTGGGAGCCTTTACTTTCTCTTCGTTTTACCTTAGCAAGAGACAGAGTGATTGCCGTCCGTGCAACCATCTCTTGACGGCTTACCCAGGGATATGGAAGTGATACGAGGGTTGCGGGGTGAAGGAATCTGGAAGCAGCAGATGAAAAGAGAGCAGAAAATCGTCTTGCTGGCTTTGCTATCACTCGATTGGTCCAACGCCCAAACGTTGGAAGCGATTAGCTTACTGTAAGGCTGCTAAGACCTGTGTTGATTGATTCTTTGGACTATTTGTTTATGCTGCTATTTATTTTCAAACTACTTTGCTTTGCAGTAGCTTTTGTTTTATCTCATATGGTTACTCTATTGAATATGCCATAACATCTTATAGAGCTCTCATCGCTTCATAACGAATTTGAATTGAACGGCACTTTGAACCTTGTTTGAACCACACCTCCAAGGTTTCCTCCACTGTTATTCATCAATCCCCAGTTGTTTGTTTCCCCATGAGACTTACTCTCGGCTCCCAATTTCCGTAGCCATACCGCTGCAGGAGTAAGTCCCATTCCCCACTTTGGAAAGATTCAAGCACCAATACAATGAGATCCTTATCACCAGCCAGGCTTTGAAAAGAAGGGGAGAGGTTTGCGTTGTCCCAACGGTGCCGCATAGTCCGAGGAGGTGGAGACTCGGCGTCTTTTGGTCTTCGAGAGTGACAATTCTTGCTGTCGTTCAAGTTCACGTTTCTTTGCCGTGAGTGAGTCTTTCAATCTCCTTGACAAGACCTTGGATCGACTTTTGGACGTCAGCACAGTTGTATTATTGCCATGTGTAGAAACAATCCATGTGAAAAACTCGCATTCTTTCGAGCAATGCGAACAACGAACTGTGGCAACAAAGATCCCCCCAGCTCTGTCGTTCTTTTTAAAACAAACCCAGGACTGTAAGATTGCAAAGGTCAACCATCATCGAACTTTCATTCTAAAAAAATGCACATCACAAAATTCGTCTGCCCATCATGCGATTGAGCAATCTGTAATAAAAAAAATATATAACGTCAACACTGCAGTTGAACGCCAATCTTCGCGTTGAGGGAAAAACAGAGGCGAAGCGTTGATGCCGTCAGACGTGCCCTTTTCCTGCACGCTGATTGGTAGAATCGTCCGTTGCGTACAGACCAAGCGCCGTTACGTACAGATCAAAACCGTTACGTACAGATCAAAAATTTGGCGTACAGATCAAAAATTTGGCGTACAGATCAAAAATTTGGCGTACAGATCAAAACCGTTACGTACAGATCAAAACCCAACCCTGTTACGACACGTACTGGACACGCGGGCGGGGAGCAGTTTATGCTAGATCCCCCGGGGAGAAAAGAAGGGGAGAGAGGAAGAAGAGAGGACGAAAGAAAATTGATCGGCAAGACGGGAGACGTATGGGCGTTTCTAGCTCTTCCTTAGTCTCAATTTCCGTCGTGCCGATTACGGCGCGTCGCTTTAGTGAAGTACACGGTTGGCGGACGGAGCGAAGAGTGTCGACGAAGAGGGCGGAAGATTGGAGAAGACATTGTTCGCAATGGGAGCTTGTGGGATGATGGAGGCGATAGAAGGAGTTTAGCTGCTCGGTCAAGACCGTCAGCTTTTTTGCTTTTTCCCGCCCTCACCACCCTCTCTCTCATTTGCACCATAGCTCGGTACCCCATTTGGTCCGGGTCTGTCTGTCAATCCTATTGATTGTCCCTTTTCGAATCCTATGATTCGACCTCGGTGCAAACCAGTCACCAACTTAGTACCTCGCTACTGTGCCAAACCTACTCGCTTCTCGTATGTAGCATCAGGCTTTTGCCACAGTTTCCATGGTAGCATGCATACGTGCGCGATCTCTCCAGACAAAGACTACATCATGCGATTCAAGCCCAGGAGTGGAGGCGGCGCCGGGTATTCTTCGATTAAACGAAGAGCGAAGAGAAGAAGAGAAAGCAATAGAATTGCAATGAAGGGGCTCTACAACACAGTGCTGGTTTCACACATGGCGTCGCAAGATGACATGCGCTATGATCCTGGCGTTAGCCAGGATTTAGACGGATTTAGAACGAGGTAACAATCCATAAATGTTCGATGTGATAATCGATGCGTCTGATGAACCGCCTACAGCAGTATTGAAATGATGTCCAAGCACCTCCACGCCAATAAAAATATCTACTATCCCTGCATATCGCAGATTAAATTGAAACTCGGAGGCTCATCGCACCGCGATTATTGGTGTCTCGAATACTTCAAGGTCGGAAGCATGAAAGTGATGTCAGTGTAAAGACGGCAGCCCAATCTTATTGTCTCGACAACAAACCATTTGGAAGCCAGGTGAATCAAGGCATGAAATACTGCTTGACTCTAGCAGCTTATACTATTGCTATGAAACCATTGAAACGCTTACTTTTGCGAGGCTTGCGAGAACCAGCCAGTCTTGGATTCGATAGATAATCGGCGGTGTCCTCAATGGACTCAACATTTTGGGAACCAAGCAAGATGAGTAAGGGCCACCACAAAGCCCGATGTCATCGCAAATGGAGTAAAGACGTGTTCCACGATTGAACACATGCAATAATCAACCGGTTTTGAGTAAGATTCACAGTCGAAAACATAGACAGAAACCTTTCATGGTTCATTGTTGGCAAAAGCCGCGACAGGAAAGTCTGATACAGTATAGTCATAGATGATGCTTTCAGATTCGGGTATTGTATATTCTACTCTGACGACAATGCAATCAACCTTTTTGCACCCGTTTGAGACAATGACTTGATTCCAAAGGTGAAGAGACCTACTACAAACTATTTATACCAATATCAGCAGCTGATTTCAATCTGCCATCAGAGAAGTCTGAACGATACTCGACAATACATAATAGTACCGTTACTCTATGTGCAAGATTGAAAAATCAGTTTCTATCGTTGGATCTATCTATTACCTCATGTAGTACCAGCCAATTTTAGTTGCCAACCTACCACCATGATCACATCTTCAGGGCAGCTAGAAGTGATCCTAGGGGATCTACAGCGCTTCCTCATGATCGAGGGCTAAATTGGGTCCTTAAGACAAGGTGTTTAGTTGTTTGATAAGACAGAGAAAGTGCTAGGGCCGTATGGAGCTTGGACCTAACATCCATACCCCCGCTAACATCATTTGAAGTCTGTGGAGAGTACTAATTTAGTGTGGAAGAGAGTTAGTCGGGTCGGTAAAATTTAATTTCTAAGTATTTTTATTTTTCGTGATTCCCAATTCTACTATTGCAGACATAGCAATTTATTGATAATTTCCCGGCTTTTTTTTATCCCACCAATTTCCACATTGCAATTGCTCGCCAACTACCTGCAATTAACTTCAATTGCTCTTTTCTGTTTGCAATTAATTTTAATTGGATACTAATTCCTATTCACCATGTCCAATTAATTTCAGCACTATTTCCAATTAATTTTAACACAACAAGCAACAGTCAACGATTAATCTCCTCCTCCTTCTTCGTGATCATGCTCCTGTGCACTTTGTAAAATCTTCTGGGCCCTTTTGGCTTTCCTTGCACTGCTTGCCAAGTCCATTGCTTCTCCAACAAAAGAAGTGTTGTTGAGCCAAAAGCGTTCATTGTATTTTAGCATCATGATGGCCTCGAAAAGCTGTGGAGACATTTTAGCGCGGCCTGGGTCCAAAAGGTTCCCTGCAATGGACCATTGTCGCTCTACCTCTGCTGCGGAACCAAGAACAAAGTTAGCATTGATATATTCATTGTTAGAATTAAGCAAAATGTGCTCTATCGTGAGTGCCTTTAGCGCTCAGAACAAACTCTCTGCAATCTAAATTCGTAATCGACTGTACAACACTTTCACGACAATAGTTCTCCTGTGTCTAGGTATACTTTGAGTGAAATTTTTCCTATTTGATTAATGTTTGGCTTGAATTGATGATTCAATCACAAAAGTGAGTTCAACAATTTTCCCTTGGAAAATCCCTTGTTTACAGAACTCGATTCAACTTCTACGACAATTCTGTGTTGAATGCAGTACTTTGGGATATCTTGCATTATTCCCTACTGCATCGTACACAACATCAATATTCCACTTGTACAGGATCTTTTCCTGTTTGTGTGGATACAGATTGTCCGACAGACTTGCGTCCGGCATACTTGCGTC